CCCCGCCGTTTGCGCAGGGAGGTAGTGACGCCCCCGCACCAGGGATTGCCCCCGCCTCACCCCGCGCTCTCTGGATAAAATGTCTCCCTCCCCCAGAGTCACCCTCGGGGGCCAGAGCAACCCATGACACCCCCTGCAGGGCCAAGGGGAGTCCCATCCTGGTAAAAGGGCATCCAGGGACCCCAGGTGCCCGAGGAAGGGGCAGCGCTCACTCGCCTGGCCTCAGGCTGCCTGCACGCAGCAGGCACTGCAGCTCCCTGTCAGAGCAGAGCCCGGGACTAGGTCACTGGGTCCCCTCTCGATCAGCCGTGAAGGCACTGTGCACCCTCATCTTTGGCCCCTGCTTCAGCAAAGGCCTAATGACATGCACCTCGTTCCCAGACCCACATGAGCTGGTTCATGTTTGCATGGAGCTCTGGAAATCAGCGCATTATCTGTAACCTCTGCTGATTCATTTTAGGCTTGCAAAATGGATGCTTGGAGCAAACTGCAAGCTCGTGAGACCAGACTGAGCTCAGAAAGGAATTAAAAACATGGAGGATCTTGGGGTGGGGGAACTAGAAAAGAAATTAAAGGCGGTGGAGAGAGACGCATAGAGGTGGAAAGCACCGGATCCCCTGGAAGGTATGAGGGAGGGGTGCAGGGGAAGCCTCAGAGCACACACTGCAGCCCCGAAAGGCTTGCTCAGCCCTGGAGGGGGTGCAGGAGGAACTGGGGGCTCCCATAGGGACACCTACTGGACATTGACCCCAAAGGCACAGGACGTGGCTGGGAAGTGGTGTTCAAGAAGAGACTAGACAGCCACTGGTCAGGGATGATCGAGGCACAGGGATGCCTGTGTTCTGCTATGGGGATTTCCCAGGCTTCTGGGCATTGCTGGTTGCCCTGGCCTCACCTTTCTGCTACATGCATCAGAGGGGTTTTAAGCCCTCCTCAGAGGCATTGGGCATTAGCTACAGCTGTGCCATGCTCCTGCTGGAACCAAAACCAAACAATCTGGCTAGAGGTCTTGCCTCTCTGCTCAGAGCCAGACCAGTCACCATTTTGGGGGTCAGGAAGGAATTTTGACCCCATGATCAGACTAGTATGAACTGGGTGGGGCACAGGTTACCTTCTTCTGTAGCAGGGGCATGGCTCTCTCCGTGGGATCTCTTGAGCATATATAGACATTTCATAGAAGCAGGACGTTGGCTGCCACAGTTCCTCTGCTTTACCTGTGGCAGGTAAGGGTGTTAGGTCTGTGTTGTGTCAGAGTTGAGGGTAGTCTTATGTAGGTTTTACATCATGGTGGGCAAAATATGGCCTGTGGGTCTGATCTGGCCTGCCAGTTGATTTTATCCAGCCTGTGGCTGGGGAGCATGGGTGGCAGCACTGTGCGGCAGGACCCCCAAACATTGCTGGTGGGTGTTCAGGGTGGCAGCCCCACCTTGTAAAGTTTCCAGCCCACAGGCAGGTGCCCAGGACAGTCCCTGGTTCCTGCAGAGCCTGGGGCAGTGAACAGAGTTGTCCTTCCTCACAAGAGTATCCTTGGCTGGGTAGCAAGTATGAGGGGGCTCTTTGCAAGGGGGGCAGTAGATGGGGGGGCCTGAGTCCCCTGAGCAGTTCCTGCTGCTGCTCACAGGGAGCACCTTCCCCCCCTTGCCTCTGTACAAGAGGCAGAGTTAGGGAGATGGGGGCAGAGCTCCCCACCAGCCTCTCTTCCAAAGGAGGATTGCAGGAGCACAGATCCCCTTGCATTTTGGCAGCAAGGGTGACAGGGCTCCCTGTAACCTGGGGATATAGGAGGCTGCTGGTGTAGTCCATTATAGCACCAGGGGAGCTTTCTTTTCTTTTCCAATTCATAGATTTCATAGACATTAGGGCTGGAAGGGACCTTGGGAGATCATCGAGTCCAGCCCCCCGCCCAAAGGGCAGGAAGTCAGCTGGAGTCGCAGGATCCCAGCAAGATAAGCATCCAATTTTTTCTTGAAGGTGTTTAATGTAGGTGCTTGGACCACCTCCGATGGCAGGCTATTCCAGACGTTGGGGGCTCAGACAGTAAAGAAAATTTTCCTTATGTCCAGCCTGAAATGGTCTTGCAGTAGTTTATAACCGTTCGACCTCGTCATCCCTTGGGGCGCTCTGGTGAACAAATGTTCCCCCAGATACTGGTGGTCACCCCTGATAAACTTATAGGTGGTCATCAGATCACCCCTGAGTCTTTTCCAGGCTGAAGAGTCCCATGGCTCTCAGCCTCTCATCATAAGGTCTGTTCTCCTGGCCTCTGATCATGTGCATGGCTCTTCTCTGGACTCTCTCAAACTTCTCCACATCCTTTTTGAATTGTGGTGCCCAAAACTGGACACAGTACTCCAGCTGCGGCCTCACCAAGGCCGAGTACAATGGGAGAATGATGTCCCGGGATTTGCTTGAGAAGCATCTATGGATGCAAGCCAGCATTTTGGTCGCTTTACTAGCCACAGCATCGCATTGCAGGCTCATGTTCATCTTGTGGTCAATGATGACCCCCAAGTCTCTTTCTTCTGTAGTGCTAGCCAGCGTATATAAGTCTATAAGGATGCTGCAGGTTTTTCCTGCCAAGGTGGAGAACCTTGAATTTTTCAGTGTTGCCAGCCCCTGGCTTTCACCAACGTCCACCATATACTGGAGATAATGCTACCGCTGCACAGCCAGAGGAGGAGGGACAAGGAAACTGAAACAGATAAACACTTTAAAGCTGAGAGAAGCAAAGAGCAGGGCGCAAGGAAGTATTCTCCCCACCTCCCCTACAACTCTAAAGGAAGTTGGTAAAAAGTGGTGCAGGCCTGCTGCAGACTGAGGCAGGACAAGGGATTTCATGGGAAGCTTTCCGAGGAAGGATGAGATTAGGAGAGGCTGACAGAAGCTGTCAGATTGTCCGAAACCTCTCCTGATCACCACAAGGTTTCAAACATAATGGCTGATGACTCTGTAATCATGTTGGCCAACTCCCTCAGCACACTTGGGTGCATCCCATCTGGTCCCATTTCGCCTTGAGTTCCATTTCCGGAACTGTTCCACTAAGCCTTGAGTTTCAAGGTTTCGACGGAACAGCATTTCGTATCGAATTTCATTTCGATTCAAAACAGCTGTTCCATTTTGCTTCATGGAAACAGTGAGGCTGTTTTGACTCTGTTTCAACATTTTGCTAGATTGGGTGCGGGCAGGGAGTCAGCACTGGATCGGGTGGGGGTGGGCAAGAAGTCAGCCCAGCTGGGCTGACTTCCCATCCCCGGCACTGAATCAGGCAGGGGGCGGGAAGTCAGTGCAGCTGGGCTGACTTCCCATCCCCAGTGCTAGATCAGCCAGGGCTGGGAAGTCAGCCCAGCTGAGCTGACTTCCCGATTTTGCTGTTTCGACCTCAAAATGAGTCAAAACAGTGTTGAAACAAAATGGCTGGCAAAA